ACACACACACACACACACACACACACACACACACACACACACACACACACACACACACAAACACAAACAGTTCTAAACACAGGCATTGTCTTTTCTTACTCTTATCCTTCAATTACCCAAGTATTATTATGATGTACACTTCTGGGAACTTTTTTACTACCCATAAAAAGACTTGTATATGTAAAAATTTAAATGTATAACTTTACCAACAGTACATAACAGAGTATAGGATGAGATGCAAAGCCAAACAGAAAATTTCACTTATAAAAATTCTACAAAGCAATGTCCTGCACATTTTGTTTTTCTAAAAATCTGCCAAGATCAGAGACATTAGCAACAAAATTAAACTTTTTTTTTAAATTTGCTCAAACCTTCTGGTGCCAACTTTAAGAAAATCATGRTTTTGACAACCAGATTTCATAAGGCTGCAGCATCAAAATGGTGTGAGATAAAGGGCTGCTGTTTAAAAGAGAAACAATATAAAACCACCAACAATTTGGGTGCAATTATCACAGTAATTTGTACACCACAGTGAAAAGAAAAGAATAATTAAAATGTCTTTTTTCCTTGTTACATTTTCCATTAGAGTATATTCATCATCAGTGCTGTCTGCTTGCTGAAGAGGTAAATGACTAAGATAAACTACATCTTAGAAAAAAGAACTACTGAGAACATCAAACATTGCAAATGCCCAGTGTCATTACACATTTAAACCTTTTTACATTGCTGATGCAACACTGCATTTTTTACTCATTGCAGTTTCCATGAAAATTTATTAAAGAGAAACAGTAGCATATATTTTAATCCAAATGTCMGTCTGTTATCATTTATGCAGAGGGCTTTACTGTAGATGGCGGAGCCACATTTGATTTCTCCACATTTTCTTTGTCATGTGAGCTTAAGTTACCAAGTGAAGGCCGCGTGAACCGGCGCATGTTCTCACTGAATGATGCGTATGAAGTCATGATGGACCGTTGAGGCAAGTCAATGCGTGGGTACAGCCTCTTCAAAACAGACCTGCGAAACAGGATGTAGACCCACGGGTCAAGAATCTGGTTCCAAGTGGCAAAGCGTATCCATATGAGYAGGTATCGGACATTCATGGGACTTCCAGATAAAGCAGTTTGGGCAATGAAGACCTAGTGACAGTGGGATTGGTGTAGGAAAATAAAAAAAAAGGATTTCGAAGAAGAGTAAAGAGGAAATCAATTAAGAGAAAGGCAAATGAGATGATGAAAGGAATAAAGAAGACAAAAAAAGAGATCAAATTGGTTAATGAGGATGCACATGAGGCTCTGTCCAATCAGTGTCAGGCTAACCGTGGTGGCCCTTCTGAGGAAGGGGGCAACGTTGAAGCAATTAACCCCCAGCACTTGACTTAAGCTGCAGCATTTCATGTGAGGCACAGGTCGTATTAACATTACCTTAAGAATCTCCTGTGGCAGCAAACATGCTAACAAGCTCAATTCAGAATGACAAATTGCCTAAGCTCTGCTCATACTTTCCATATAACATTCAGCTGGCATTAAAATTCTGTTCTCCTGGGGTTCACAGCCAAGCAGTGTGCAGAAATCTGTTCCATACCATTGTGTTAAAATGCGTGCATGCAAACAATGAGAGTGTAAGKTTTTGGGAGGTTTTTTTTTTCATGTCTGTGAAAAAAAAAAAGAAAAAAATCTACAAAAATTGAAATGACTAATAATAATTATGCTAGTGACTTTCAAAGAACAAAAAGACTGCTCTGTGAAGTAATACGTAGGTGCAATTCCAAAAAAAAAAAAAAAAAAAAAACATTTTGGATATGTCATTCCAAGACATGCATTATTTACTCCTAAACATCAGTGTTGTTTTAGCATTGTTGTGCTTTTTATTAAACATGAAAACTAATTAACAGGCGTAAATATCTCAATATTATGGAAGACAAGAGCGTCCGTTTACCACATATCGTATTTTCCCATGGTTTTCTCATGATAACGGCATATTATGGTGTATTGTGTTGTAAAACAAATTGCAATTGCAGTCTGTGTAATGATACAAAAATGACACAAAATTGTACATTAGGTTGCCTTCAGGCCCAGGCTGTCCTTGCAAAAGAGATCTGCGATCCCTCTGGGATTTGCCTGATTAAAATAAAATAAAATAAAATAAAATAAAATAAAATAAATCGATGACCAGCTGAGGGGACCAGGCCATCTGAATGATGCACAAGAGGAAAATTATCCGCAAATTAACTTATCTTGAGAAAACGCTCCTCGTTTCGTGATAATGACTTGTTGTTACGAGAAAACCATGGAAAAATATTATGCAGAAAACGGCTGCTCTCAGCTTCCATACAATAATCTTAAAAACTAAAACAGATTGTCTGCAAACATTTACTACCACCCATAAATACTCTAATCAAAATGTTTGGCTCATGGTGGTGGAGAAAATACTAAACAATGATGCTAACACCATCACACTTGGTGCTGTGCTTGGTTTAACTTTGAACTCTTGTTTTTTTTTTCCGGAAAATGATTTTTTCCCTTAACATTGTTAATACATGTATGGCTACATTTTTATTAATAATAAATGTCTGCTCACCAAGTTTGGGTATCAGACAAGCTTTAGTTGAAAACTTTGACTCAACTCTTTTAGGGGGGAAAAAGACAAAGAAAAAAAATGTAACCTTTTAAGGGAAAGTTTACATCAGCTTTTTTTGATTCTGGAAAAAAAATGCACAAGCAAAGTGTGGGGCATACTTCAGTGAAATGTTTACCCATGTTTAATGGAACAAAATAAAATGCACAAAGCAGTAAAACCCATGATGGGGCATGAACTATGAAGCATGCTCTGAGTTAAATGGTAATCTTATGGATAACAGTTCGGCATTGAGCAAACTGGGATGAGCAGACACATCTATCCATGAGGTTTAATAGCAGATGGTTCTGACATGCTGATGAAGCCGGTCCTCTGCATCACAGAGGGAGTGAGCAGTGACTGGGTGAGCTGTGGCGGTGTTTTCTAACAGTTGCATTACTTTTGACTCGCCTCAGTCCGGACACYTTAAACGTGATGTATATCCAAGGGTCAAGTATTTGATTCCAGCTGGCCATTCGAATGTAGGACAAAAGCATTTCCTTGCTTGCAGAGACAGTCACTGTGCTCCTCAGTATATATATCTGTGGGAAGGTTAGACATGATGATAGGATACCATGTGCCTCAGCTATTAACTATTTCCTTTTGTGTAACTTTTGTGTTCATTCTGTACACTGTAAAATTTAACATACGAGGGACCGTCTTGATCGAAAATTATCAAGTGTGAGTTTGATTAGTTTTAAATTTATTACTGACGGCAACATTTCACTTAGTTGTAATAAGATGATTTTCCTTTTAGGGCACAATTCATTCACATTCAAAAGCTGAAACCTCATCTCAAGTTGGGCATTTATGGCTTCTAGGATGTAAGATAGGATCAGAAGACTTTTATATCAGCTTGTTAAGACACTGCATTGCTAAGAATAAATGAAGCGTACACAGAGAAAGAGGGGGAAAAAGGAAAAAATATAGAAAATGAGCTTGAGCCTTTGTGATGCCTTATTAAGACCAAATCATTTGAAGAACTGAGYTGATTACAAAAAGAGCTGGGTAGTTAAGGGTGAGGCTCTTTCATTTATGTCTGAAACCCATTTACTCCATTTAGTTAGAAGCCAGAGTGCCTCACTATGAAATGTTAGAAAACTTAACAGGTATGTAGCAAACTTTTGAAAAACAAATTGTAAATGATTCTTCCATGGATCTTGACACATCAAAACACACAATTACAGGCCACAGATGAGTGTATAATTACAAGAATTCAGGCATACTTGCATACACGGCCAGCCTTAGCCAATTCGGTGCCCTAGGCAAGAATTCAAGTGGTGCACCTAATGTATTTTTTACATCTMACTGCCAATTTACCTACATTTACATACAAAATGAAATAGTTTTATTTTTAGATATGGTTTTATCCTTATAAATCAGGTTGCCAGTTAAAATTATTAAAAAATATAATTTGTTTGAAACAGAAGTCTACTTCAGTCCTGGCAACATTTACTGACAGTAATGAGAAACACCTGTTTATGTTAGTGATCAGCTGTGGAGTGGAGCAGTTCTAGGGGGGTGTATTACCCTGGAAAATTTTGTAAACTTTAACCAATGGTGCTTGGTGTRTTGTGTGTAGTCTTGGCTACATTAAATGATACTTTTATCACAAAATGTCTTCTGCACCATACAACACTTCGAGTAGTAACAGAGCAGGCTGAGACACCTACAGAACAGGTTACATCCATAAACCTGATTAACTAGTGATTATTCTACAGATTGAATCAACTCTGATAATATTATAAAATCTATAATTTTTTATCCCTCCTTTGTGGCACCCCTATATTTGATTTGATTTGATTTATTGATTTAACAGGAAAAGATAACTAAAAATCAAACCTGACTCAGCATAATTGCTGTTTTACAGCAGGTTCCTGTTCTGCAGCACATAAAACACTCAGAAATACAGC